CATCATGGATGGAGCAGCCAACAAATCTGCAGCAACTGTGTGATGCTGTCATGTCAATGTGGACCAGAATCTCTGAGAAATGTTTCCAGCACCTAACAAAGTGGCCTGTGAGTGTATGTATGGTCTTACTGCTGAAACATCCAGCAGCATTACCAGTGTGCAGTAACTTAACATTACACCTTTTAAAGCTAATAACAATGCAATTGCAAATATCGGGCGTTATTAACATGAATTCAGAGCAGCCTTACCCAGCAAAGGCCTCTTCTATCATCTCAGTTTTCTAAGAAAAGAAGGAGAAAATAAAAATACATTAACGTAAGTGAAGATTTGTGATATTAACGGTGCACCCATAGCTGTTAATTCTCATGTTAGCGAGCTGGGGACATAAAGTAAAAACACCATCTGGTTATATTTAGGACTGCTCATTTGCAATCCAAAGTAAGTTCAGTAAATAGAAAATACTACTACAGTTATCTGACATGCTAACTAATGTTAGCTCGGCTGACACTCAGTAAACAAAGGTGCAAGTTACCACAACATCTTCAAAGATGCTCTGAAGCTGTGTTTCCATCGAAAGCGCCATGTTTGCAACCAAAAGACAATTATTCAACGAACCATCCCAGAATTCAAACCCGTTACTCCTCTACGGGAGCACAGACGATAACCACCCCATCTAGCTAAATGCTAAAAGGAAGCAGAATGAAAGCGGCCGCATGAGAAGCGCGATGGCAAAAACAATCCGGGCGTGCAACGGAAACACAAGTGGGACAGTTCCGCCCCATTGTTTCTTTGCTTAATTATTATTATTAGAAATTGTAATTCTCATACGTCAGTAATTTGCAAATAATAAAGTTACACATTAATAATATTTTTTTCCCAAATATTTATCACAACGCTTGCATTTTTGAGTGTTTAAAATCTGTATTCAAAAATTCTGTCCCTTCACTAAGACAGGTCTGTGGCCACAAGATGTCACAATGGACGATGTTTGAGCACCTGCTGTTCTTCTCGATATTTGCTAATTGATTTTTCCATGTTTTGTTTATAGCTTTCGTGAGGTTCGTGGTGGAATAATTGGTGGTGTGATGAAGAAGAGTAAGAGTAAATGTTTACACTTTAAACAAAACAGCTTTCTCTTTGCAAATGGGTTACCCAGGTTTAGCTCAGTAGGGTCAATATTAATTTTTAATATCTAATCTCATTTGACAGTGTATTTAGAGAGAGAGAGAGAGGATATTAGCTGGGGGGAAACGGACTAAGGAAATAACACGGAGCACCTTATTACTCAGGCTGCTATCCGGATAAACACCACAGGAACATCTTAAGGAAAGTGTACCTGTTCCCACATAACAGCCTCCACACGCCACACCACCGCAAAACTAAACACAGTTCACTTATTTATTTGGAAATGGGTCACGTATAATGTATTTTTTCTTTCCACATATTGGAGTGGATCTAATTGTTTACTAAGTACTTGTACTTAAGCTTAGATTTTTGTAGCCTATTATCTCAATAGACGTCGACACGCCCACGCCCACGCCCACGCGCGGCTCACAGGTGAACTGTTCACAAACGAGTAAGGTCACATTCCTTTCCCCAAAAGGAACAAGGACGCCTGTCAGGTCGCAGGGATTCCTTTAACTGAATCCACGGGGTTTTATTGGTTGGCAGTTTCACGTAACCCTTCCGACTTCAGCTACATTCTTTCACTTTAAACCTTGAGTGCGTGGTTTTAATTTCCTTTAATCGAGAGAACTGCGGGCAGGTGTACTATGAGGAGGAGCTGGGGGGAACCTGCCGAGGGGATTGGAAGTATTTGCCTTCTTGTTTTTGTGAAAACATGACGACTCCGTACAAAGATGTTGGCTATATTCACATTATTCATTTTTTATAGCCTGCACTCCACAGGTAGGTCTGCATTTAAATGCTAATATCTATTTTCTTTGTTGTTACTTTGTGGCTGCTGGGTTTCTTTGTTTCCACTGTTTCCATTTTGTCCAGTTAGTTTTATGGCGTTTATTCAGTTTAAGCGGACTGACTTTTATACTACAACAATGCAGCCAACGATGAGATCATTAAAGAAATTAACACATTGTAATTTAGTTCTTCCACATTAAGTACAGAAAGCGGCTGTTAGAGCTACAAACACGTGTGGTTTTGTTAACAAAAAATGTATTAGTCCATCTAGCTCTACTTTAAGTGTAAACTCACTTTACAGACTCAGGTTTTTCATCCTGAGATCAAAGCATAAAACACATTATTTGATCTGTGTGCAAAATGTACTCTGGATAATCTTCCCATAGAGAATCTTTAATCAAACACTTTTATTGTGTTTGCCTACTTGAAATGATTTATAAGGAGCTAAGTGTACTGTGTGAGGTGGAACAAAGTCTGAAAGGCAGTGAATCATAGTGACAGCTCACACCTTATGGTCATATGTGGACAACTAGTTGAATAGTACCATTAAACACAGGGGAAGTTTAAAGGTCAGTCAGGACAACTAGAAGCTAGTGTATATTCTGATGACAGGCACCTCACCTCTTGTCTCTTTCCCCTCAGTCTCCCAGTCTGTTCCCAGCCCCATCAATGTCACCTTCTCTTCTGTAAATCTGAGGAACGTGCTGCAGTGGTTTCCAGGAGAAGGCAATTACGCAGATGAAACGCTCTACACAGTGCAATATGCCATGTGAGTAAATGTTTTAGAATTTAAATAAAAATGTATAGTTCCCAAGAACTAGCCTAGATGCAGTCCCAAAGGGATTTATTGGCAACAAAAAAAAGTTCCAGCAAGGCTAAAAGAAATAAAATGCAACACGATCTCAAAATCAGTCTGCCTTGTTTAAGTTAATTTTCTTTATTGACTGTGACTTTAAGCAAACTCTGCTCAACCTGTGCAAAAGTTCACCTCTGAATGTGTGGGTCTTTGTCTTTTCCAGCTATGGAGACAGAATTCAAGGTAAGAAGGGGAAACGGGTGAACTGGAAGGCAGTGCAGCACTGTACAAAAATAGTCCGGACGTGGTGTGATCTAACCAGTGAGATGTGGGATGAGAACCAGGGTTACTATGCCAAAGTTCGTGCTGTGGAGAGGGGAGCGTCTTCCAAATGGGCTTCTTCCAAATGGGCTTTCACACCCAGGAGATTTGAGCCAAAGACAGACAGTAAGTTAAAGAAACAAAAGCATTACATCATATTTAACATGTTTACACTTTAAACAATAGAGGTTTGTCCAACTTTGTAGCTACTTTGGGGCCCCCACTGCTTTCTGTGGAAATTGAAAACAACAGTGCCACCATCACTATGATGGGACCGATGAGGTATCCATCAAACAACCATACCCCAGCGCTTTCCATGGTGACACTCTACGCCGAGATGACTTACAACCTCTCTGTTCGCAACACCCATCTGAACCAAACGGTAGGTATAAATCAAGTAGAAATATATATGACTACTGTAGCTTGACTCCGCATATAAGAAAAGTTTTAAAATTCTAGGAAGAGGTGAAACAATCTCTATCTGATGTTGCTGCCCTGAATTGCTTTCATTTCAAAAACAGGATTGTCAGGCACAAATAAAAACATTCATGCTAGACATTGTATTGAAAACTTCCTTGTAAAGCACTGAGTCAACTACTACAACTTCATTTTTTTTGTAGTTTTTTTTAACTGCTTATATATGGAAAAGAAATAGTAAAAACTTATATGTGATTACTCATGAAAGTGGCCACTTTCTCATTACTTTCATACATTGTTTTCGTAAGTATCCAATACATACAAGTTTCATTATATAATTTTTCAAGGGATCTTATATCTGTTTTCACTCTTATATGCTTTTCATACAAGTTTCACACAAGACGGATACAAACTTTAAGATTTATATATATCTTTTCCATATGGGTAGCTATGACGACAAACTAACCTACGGCCACAAAGCATAAACTTTTTGTTTTTTGTGCAGCAATTCTTTCCAAAATTCTTTCCCACTCTCTAGCACTACCTAATCTGTGCACTTGTTGGTTTTTAGCACCATTTCCCAGTTGTTGGCAGCGTGTACAAATACCGCCTGATGAAGTACAACATGGAATACTGCTTTTCTGCACAGTTGAAATTCTCCTCGATGCCAATCCACTGCCAGTCCTCTGCATGGCTCTGCATAACCACACCTCAAGGTACAACTCCATTGCGTGACCGTGTCTGTAAATGAGAATATTCGGCTCCCTGTTTGAAATGTAGAAAAAAAATGTCAATAAACATGATATCAAAGCTGGAGAGCGATTAGTGTTTGTGCGGCAGGTGTATTGTACTTCCTTGTGTGAGCCAAATATGTCGGTCAAGGAAATGGTTCAGATGTTAGATTATTTTCTTTTCACATCACAAGCCCTGGATGAATAAATATTTTCACTCACTTCACCCTCTTTTTCTTTTTTTTTTCTTCTCTAGACCCTGTGATTGAGCAGCTGCAGAGTGTGACTGTGGGTATTGTTGTTCCAGCTTTGTGCATTGGTATGATCATTGCAGCTGCCTACCTTTTCCATCGCTACCTGTCTGGGAAAGACCAACACAGTCCAAATATACTGGTAATAGAAATGCATATAAACATACTGGCAATTCAATACCTAAACAGCACTTAACTTTAATTAATGTAGGTTCGCTAAACTGGGCAATGCATGTTTTTTTTTTGGTTTTTTTTGTTGTTTTTTTGTTTTGTTTTTTAAATATGAATTTAACAATTCACCTTAGGGAACCACTGACATAATTGCACTTGCAAACTGAAACTACTGCTTTGCATTTCACCTAAATGAGATATCTTTGAGTAGTGTTTCAAAGGTAAATTATCAAACATTTCATACCTTTTTCCTTCCCTTCCAATTTCCAGAACCCACCTTCTTTTCACAAGTCTCCTATTTTGTTCCCTCCTGAGAGTTCCAACCTCATCCCAATCAGCCCCATCAGCCCTGAGCCACCAGGAAACTTATTCACAATGTCAGGCCTTGAACACCCCATCTACTCTCTACAAGTTGTGGATCCCCCACCCAGCTACTCGCCCCAGAGGCATGAGGCTCCCTTGGATGATTTGTCCGTTGAGTACGGGGGTATCAGCATGGCTCCTCAAATCATTGTTGAAGGAGAAGAGGAAGCAAGAGGAGGGAATCAAGATGATGGAGACCGGAGAGTTGAGAGCGTTAACTCTGGTGGAGCTTACGCTCCTCAGGCTAACACTTCTTGGACATGCAAACAAACCCCCATGCAAACACATGGCCAGTCATCTGCAGGTTTACAGTCTTTTCCAAGATCAGCTACATGTGGGCTCAATAAAAAGAAGGATGGACAGATTGAAAGTTTACTGGTAAGCATTCGGTTAAATCTGCAAACAATGGAGGAAGTAAAAAGGGGAGAAGAGCTGCATGGAGAGGTGATCTGGAGCACACATAGGGAGGGAGTGGCAAACAGAGGTGTGGAGGAAGGAAACAACTGTGAAAATGTGCCTTTAATCTCTGCTTATGCCCCACAGAACATTCCAAACATGTCTGCCTCCTCCTCGGACCAATCTGACATCACGCTAGATGACTTTAGTGTCAATCATGAAAGAGGACTGCATGTACCTCTACTTTTAGAGAGAGGTAGAAGACGGAGTGAAGAGGAGTATGTGACGAGAGCTAGGTTGAGGCTAGATAATGTTTCTGTCAGCCAAGCAAGTGACAAAGAGGAATAGAAAGAGTT